AAAAAAAAATAGTGACAATACCAAATGCTGGCAAGGATGTAGAGAAACTGGACCACTCATACATTGTTGATGAGAGTGTAAATTGGTACAGCCCTTCTGGAAAACAGCTGGGCAGTTTCTTTCTTTACAAATTAATATGCAGCTGCCATATGACCCAGCAATTGCGCTCCTGGGCATTGGTCCCAGAGAAATGAAGATTTAGGTTCACACAAAAACCTGTACATAAATGTTTTATTTATAAGAGCAAAAAACTAGAATCAGTCCAAATGTCCTTCAACCAGTGAAAGATTAAACAAACTGCAGTAGACATATACCATGGAATACTACTCAGCAATAAGAAGGAATGAACTTTTGATATACACAACTTGGCTGACTCTGCAGGAATTATGATGAGTGAAAACAAAAATCCCAAAAGGTCACATACTGTATGATTTCATTTATATAACCTTTTTGAAATGACAGAATTTTAGAATTGGAGGACAGATTCGTGGTTGCCGGGGGTAGAGAAAGGGGAGGGTGGGAGGGAGGTATGTTCAGTTATTAAAGGCAACACAAGGGATCTTTATGATAATGGAGATGTTTAATGTTTTGACTTTGGTGGTGGATACAGGAACCTATTAAGGTAATAAATTTCTATAGATCTTAATACACATGCACAAGTACAAGTAAGATTGGGGAGGTCTGAATAAGATCAGTAGATTGTATCCTTGTCTATATCCTGGTTGTGATATTATGCTACAGTTTTGCAAACTGTTACCATTGGGGGAACTGGGCAAAACGTATGGCCATCTCTCTGTATTATTTCTTACAACTGCATGTGAATATGTAATTATCTTAACAAAAATTCCAATTAAAAAAAAGGTATAAAACCATTTGCAGCCAGCCCTCAAAAAAGTCTTTAATATGGGGAGAAAAGACGTATATATCAAGAAGATAAATAATAAAATAAAAATGATAATAAAACTGATACTAAATGTTAACTGCATAACAGGCACGTGCTGAGCCTTTTCCACGAAAGACTTTAATCCTTAAAACATTCTTGAGGGGAGTATTATTATTTCTGTTTTATAGATGAGGAACCTGGGGCTGGGAGAGCTTATGTAGTTTCTCCCAGGGTCCCAGAGTTAGGAAATGGTAGAGCAGGAACCAAACTCAGGTTTGGAGCTTACTATGTTATGCACAGAATGAGGAGGAGAGTGTTACGGGTTTCTCAGAGGGGAGACATCATAATTAGGGATGAGGAAAGCATCTTGCAGGATCTGGGGCTTGAAGCAGCAGGTAGGCTGAGCTAGCAACAAGGTGGACAAAGGTATTCCAGACAAAAAGCTGGACAATCCACCACTTGTCTGAGGAAATGCTTCCTTTTCTAGGAGAGGAAACTGGCATGTACTCCTGCTTTGCCTCCCAGAGATAGAGGCTAAATGGTGGAAGGTCTTAAGTGCCAGGAGAATGTGGTAAGATCCTCCTGGATCTGATTAGCAATTTGTGAGCGATAAAAAGCACTAATAAAGCCAAAGTTGTATGTGAATTGCCAGCATTCACAGAGGATCCCAAGTGTAGGGTGTGGATGGTAGAAGAAACCAATTCATTCCCATGGCCAAAAGAGCAAGGGGAATTGCGCCCTATTAGTGGAGAGTTGACAGCAGCATCTTTGTCTACATGAAGGCAACGGAAGAACGTGCTCAGGACGATAAAGACCATAGAGTGGTTGAGAACAATGATCATTGGAATCCTACCTAACTATACTTGGCATTTAATCTACTCTTATATGGCTACTTATTCAGTCAATGATTGAATGCCTATTATGTGGCAGGCACTACTGCAGGGACTTGGTATATAACAGTGGACAAAATACGCTGACCAAATTCTCTTCCATCATGGAGCTCACCTTCCACGCTTACTGCTGATTCCTGCTCAGGAAGATTCTTAACGACCAGAACCTGAGAACACATTTTCATACTGTACATTTACGATTCCGTGACCCTGAACAGAAATGCAAACCTCTCTGGGGTGAAGCTGGGCAACCGTGCCAGAGGACAGACACAGCACTTCTGACTTGAGACTGAGGATGATCTTACCCCAGTGTGGCTGCAGGGAAACTTAAGATGGGCAGGTTGTCAGGCCTCGGTCTGAGTTGGATCAGAAAAGCGAGCTCAAAACCAAGGCGAAGAGTTGGCGGTGTGACCCTTGAAGATGATTCAAGTTAGCCTGGGGTACCCTCTCTGTTTTCCACTCCCAAACTGGGATTAACTTTAGAGTCTTCCATAAATGTAGAGAAACTGGGGGCTTTCCAATCCTAGCCTGGGTAAGTACTATTGCAAGACAAGTCATAACAAGATGGCCTCGCACTGTAAAAGACAGGAGGGAAGACAGGGAGTAAATACACCTGGAGATACACAGTCAGGCAGGAGACAGACAACAACAGAGTCTTGTTCTTAAAGGAGAAAATTAGAGACATGGAATTTTTCTCAGACTGCTAAAAGCAATATGCAGATGAAGATAACATACTAAGAGATAAGTTGCTGATCACTGTTTCTACAAAAAGACACCTAAAGGTAAGTGAATCAGGCAAGACTCAAGAGTGGGCAAATTTATTAATATTAACCCCCAACCCAGGATTTTCAAACCATTTCAAACTTTTAGGTTCCCACAGCCTCAAACGTCTGAGAATAAATATTTAAAATGTATTTTGACTTAGTTATGAAAAGATTCACCCATCTTTTTTTGAACAATATTATAATAAGTTTCATTTAGTTCCCAATGACTCCCAATGCTCTGTGTCACATTTGCAATTGATAGACATTTTCTGTAAATTTGGCTATATTTTATATGTATGTAAGAAATACATCTCCTACAATTAAGTAGAAACTTTTTTGCATGGGTGAAAGAATCTGCATTCCCAAATATGCTAGTCCCCGTGACAAAATTATCCTGCTGTAGTCAAAGGAAAATAAATGACACAGATACAAAGATCCTGTTTCTGACTTCAGGCTGCACAGAACTGCTCTTAAATGTGCAGTTTCCCTCCAAGTTCCTGGTTGTCCCTTGAGTGAGAGGTCAGTTCTGCTACTGACCACAGGAAGGTGAGAAAAGTCCCACCACCTGCAGAAAATGCAAGCTCTTCTGTTTGCTTTCTGAACAACAGTGTTCACAGTTCTGAGATAATGGCCTTAGTCACGCCAGAAAGCACAGGTGGGACCTTGAGCTGATAGCTGGTGGGGTGGGAATGTGGTCATGAATGTGCGTGTGTGAGTGTGCTAGCCAAAGAGTTCCACAAGAACTTCGATAGAATACACAGGACAGACAACCGTGGTCCCAGAGATGGCCCATTTTACTGAGCTGCATTGCCAGGAAACAAGGGAGCCCGCCGGTCACCACGGCTCTTGGGCTCAGAATTGAGTCTAACGTGCAAGCTGCAGATGACAAAGGGGTCCTCCCTTCAGCTCCTTGAAATTTTTGGCCGTTGGGGGAGCTAGAAATGGCCTCCCACAGTGGGGGCTCTAAAACCAATATTGTCAATAAGTAGCCACCTTCCCTTCCTCTTACTCTTTTTGGGCCACTTTATCGCTTCCCGCAGCCTTTAATCATAAAAGTAACTTGTCCAATGAAACATGCTCTAGGTGGATAAACGACTGTAAGAAAGCACTCAGCTGAGCAAAGAAGAGCATTTTATGAATAGAAAAGGAAATGCCATATTTATTGACACGAAAAAATTCACATTGTCACTGTATTTTGTGTTAACATTTGACCAAACCAACTCCATAAACTTACCTTGGGCGTGAATCTGTGGCCATGGGCGTGTGAGCTGCCAAGTGGTATGTGCTAAGCACTCAATAGGATAAAGGTGGCTCTGCTGCTAAAAGTAAGGTATACATGTGGCTTTTATCTGGCTAGTTTAGCCAGCGAAACAGAGCTATTTGCTCAGTGAAAAGTTACCCTGAATCTGGAAATTTTTAGATTGGCTATTTTATAACTGGGTCTTTAGAAATCAAGGTATCAATATTTTATATTTTCACAGAGACAGTTAAATAACTGCATTTGGGATTATTTTATTTTCTTTGGAGTATATTTAGTCTTCTATAAAAATAATATTAGATTTCTACTACAAAGTTGGGGGAAAAGGGAATACAAAGTATGGTAAAAATAACTGATAAATAACTTTTCTTAGACATTTGTTTACAAAACTTAAATCTTGGCCATGGTACAGCATCTGTCCAAAGCCCATTTGGGACCCTTTAAAATTAAAAATATAATTAAAAACATAAGTCATGTATCCGGCAAAACATCCTTTGTGCATTCATTATTCCCATGAATTTAATTCTACTTCTTTACACCCCCAAATCAGTAATAAGAGAAAGCAAATTTATTTCCTGCCTGTATTTTCTTAGCCTCTTTTATACTTTGTGATTTCTAAGAAAAACAAAATAAAACAAACACACAATGAAAAATATCCCAGATCACAGCAAAATCTACTTTGCCTACTTTCTCCAGCACCCCCAAGTGAATTCCACAAGTCTTTGAGACACACCGAAATCTTTCATTTGTACTGCAAATTCTGATTAAAGCCCAAACCTACCATTTTGAAAAAAGCGAGACTCTGTCTCTGAAAAAAAAAAAAAAAAAAAAAAGTTTCTTTTTTCCTTTAAAGGCTACACCCAAAACATTTGCTTGAGAAACTTTCTGAATAGTGACATTGCCCAGTAAAACACATGCAGTAGACAAAATATCAGATTTCTTTTTCCAGCTGTCCAGAGTCCCATTAGTGTCTCTTACTTCTATCAGTCTTTTGCTATAATTAGGATGGCTTAGGGTTTATCTGGGCCTTTTTTCAAAACCAGATTTCCTTCCTAGCAGCAGCAGCTGTCACGCACAAGTACCCTGATGGTATCGAGAGATTTATTTTGGTTTACATTATAAAACAGCAATTGTGAACATGAAGTGAAGGGAAAGACACACACAAACAGCTTTATCTTGTAACTTTTTAAAAAGGGGAGTCTTACCTGAGGATGATCACTGAGGTCTGGAACTTGGCGTCTTTCAAATAGATCAGTAACCTGCATCCCTTCTCCCTCGAAATGTGTGCTCCCTTCTTTGGAGATTGAGTCTGTTGGAATTTGAAGGGTTTTTGCTTCTTGCTCTGCAAGGGTTGAAATAACACATCCTCCTGCATGGACGTGGGAATTCCCATCCGTAGCGTCTGCTTTGCCGTGAGAAATGCCTCCTTCATCTCTCTGGGTTAGTGGGTGCTGAGCAGGTTCTCTGGGACAGAGGAGATGCAGGGTGCCTTCTGCTGTCCTTTGCTGCAGGCTGGCGTTCAGCTTCTTGGGTTTTCCTTTAATTCCCAGTCGCCTCCCCCTGGCAGGCTTCTGTGAGCCCCTCTTGCTCCATACGTCCTTTTCCTCTACTCTTTTCTCAGCTGTGGCCTCCGAACATTGGTTCACCCCTGATTCCTCTAACTCACCAGACGAGAGCTTCGTCTCTGTCTCTGTCGCTGCGTTATCCATGTTCAGCAGATTGTCACTGGCGAATTCCTCTCTTGCTTGGTGGCTGTCTCTGGTTTCTCCTTGAATTCCTGGATAATCATTCTCAGCAGCCTCAGAAGCAGTGGGGACTTTATATCTACCCTGTTCGGTCACCACAGACGTCCCATCCTGGTGAGGTCCCAGTGTGAGAGTCATCCCTGTTTGTGGGCCCGAGGGGCCGTGCATGGAGGCTCTGCCGCTCCTCACCCCCACTTCTTGGGGTTGTGAGTGATAACCACACAGGCCACCAGCGGCATCCATAGGCCCAGTGTCACCCGACACCCGAGGCCCACAACCCATTCCACTGAGGAAATGCTCACACCCACCCAGGCAACACTCGCTGAATTCCATGTCTTCGTCATCGCTTTCTAATAAAAAAACATGCTCAGTCCCCTGCAGGTGCCTTTGCCAGACTGCATTAGAATAATCTGTCATTACGTCGGAACATTCCAGATACTCCAGGTCATCATCTGAAAACTCCTCGGTGCAGGTTAGGGTTATCTCTGGGCAAAGTTCATAGTCACTGTCGGAGTCTTCGCTGGAGACCTGTTGGCCGTGTTGTTTGTTGACGGTGGCACTGTCACCTGGGTAAATGTGTGCGGTTGCCTCAGACAGCGGGAGGCTGAAGCTAATGTATTTCTGGACTTTTGGATTTTGATGGCTAGAGCTTAAGACTCCATCGTTAGGGCCATCATTGTTCTGGCCACCATCTGTGAACCCTGATATTTGGGAATGCACTGTCCTGTGGCTGCATGCTTCTTGTTTTGGGGGAGTATTACTTGAATTTAGAAAAAGCAACCCAATTTCTTCTCTGTTACTCAGGTCACCAGCCTCTCCAGTTTGCTTTGTTCCTTCAATACCCAAAGGATTTTCAGAACTGGATCCACTGATGTCACTATTGGCCAATAACTGGGGTGAACGGAAATGGCTGAATTTGGCGGGGGAGGAGCCAGTTGCTGTGGGAGTGGCCAGGGCGATGTGTGCTTCGTCCTTACCGGGACCATCTTTCTCATCAATTTGATTTGCACTTTCCTCCTCATATTTCCCAGTCTCATGTTTCCAACCTGTGTCCCTGTCATCTTCCAGGTTAGGAGACAATTGTGGGTTCTCTGACAAGCACTTGACCTCAACAGAAGCAGAACAGCAGATCATTCCAAAACAGTTTTTAGCTGAGATTTGATAAACAGCAGCATCATTTGGGGTACAGCTAGGATGAAGAGAACATACAGGTAAGTTTGCCATCTTTGGACATCCTGTAACATAGAGACAATGAGCATAACTGACTGCATGTTCAGGAGATTTGTGGTCTCCCTGGAAAAGGGTTTGTGGTTAGAGGCAACCAGCCTCTGGGTTCCAGCTGCCTCTAGTGTGGAGTCCCGGAAAGCTGAGCACTTTCCCTTCCAGCTTTCCCCAGTCTTACCCCGAATTGAAAATGCTGCCAATTACTTAGATGAATGAGGAAAATGTTTTATATATATTCTAGTTCCTTCTTCTCTCTTTTTAAGTCATTTTTATGTTGTGAGAATTTGAAAAAGCATTATTTTTCTGGAGTGAGACATCGTGTGCAAATAAGCAAAGAATTCTTCACATGGTGGTCTAGCATAAGCAATGACTCTTTTTAGGAGCATGCTAAGAAGGCCTGATTCTTGTTAGGAGGCTGTACAGACAACGCCATGATAGGATTACGTGTAGGAAGGACAGTGCCATTTCCTTTTTAATTTAATGCAACGAAAAGGTCTAAACCACAGCCCGTGAGCCCCTACTGGCTGGAAACCATGTCCACATGCCACTCTGACTAACACAGATCAAGCCAGGTGTTTGGCTTTGGCCCAGCAGGGAAGGAACAGAATCCTGGATCAGACCAAGCCTGCTCTCTCCTTCCAAGAGGGACAGCGCCTGTGGCTCCTCCCTTTACTGATTGGAGCCACAGGGATCCTGGAGCCTGACGTGCTTTACTGAGTCCTTTCTCACTGGGACCCTTCGGCAGACATTGCAGTCCCAATAAAAACTCGATACGCTTGTTTATAAGTCACACTCTTATTTATCTCATTTGACCTCATTGTAACTGCAATGTCGCTGACCTCACTCCAGGTACCAGCCAGCTCGGAAGTCAACAACCATTTGCAGAAGGCAAGAGCGTGGGTCTGGCTTGGACTTAGAGGCAACGATTAGATCTTTACTGACTGTTCCCTCTGTAAAATATAAACTAATCTTTAACTCAGGAAGCCTCAGTGTTAAACACAGGATGAGTCCAACACAGTCTTCCTTATCTTTTCTCTTCCTCACTGGGGGACCCCTTGCATCTTCAAGCCCAAATGTGCTCTAAGCCCTCCATCGTAGGGTGCCCGCTAACACAGGTCTCATGTTCAGAAGTCAGAGACAAATTCCAATTTCAATAATGTCTTGTTTCATTGGTAACCTGCGCCCAGGTAGAGGCCATTCGGCAGTGGCTGAAGTCGGCCCAGCCTGACTCACAGCTGCTACCTGGCTTTCCCTTGGCCAGCAGCTTAGGGAAACTGAAATTTAAGGCAACTTTCTGGGGAAAGTTGTCATATCTATTTCACAAAGTTGCTCTGAGGTTCAAATGAGAAAATCAACGTGAAGAGGCTTTGCAAAGCACATTTTATGCCAGGTGTATTCTCCAAGAAGGTAGAAGTGCCAAGATCAAGTTGTCTCTGGTGTTCCAGAATCGTGCAGAAGAATCATCAGAGAACTCTATTTACAATTCTCAAATCAGAATCTTTGGGTCAGGGCCTGAGAATTTGCTTTTGAAGATCCCAAAGCCATTCTGATACAGATTGTCCTTGGCCCACCCTTGGAGATGTCCTCATCCTCATCATTGATTCAGCTTAGATCTCTCAGTTAAAGCGGAATCTTTTCAGCTGATGAAGAGTGGCTATTGTGTGGTTTCACGTTACCCACATCATCCCCTTCCGGAACCTGTTCAGTTAACTCTTGGAGATTTGGCCCCGTCGAGAGCTGACAGGGAGCGTAAAAGAACACGATGGACTACTGGAGAATCCCAAGTAACTCGGATTTCCTGACCCATCCAGCCCGGGAGGCTGTGCCAGAGAAACCACCTATCCTGAAGGTGCCATGACTTGTGTGGAAGAAAGAGAAAGGAAGAGAAGAAAACAGGCTGAGAGACACAAAAGTAAGAAAGCAGGAGAGGAGGGCAACAGAGATGATCATGAAGAATCAAGGACTCTGGGAGGCCGAGGCGGGAGGATGGCTTGAGCTCAGGAGTTCAAGACCAGCCTGAGCAAGAGCGAGACCCCATCTCTGCAAAAAATAGAAAAAAATTAACTGGGCGTGGTGGCAGGTGCCTGTAGTCTCAGCTACGCGGAAGGTTGAGGCAGGAGGATCAGTTGAGCCCAGGAGTTGGAGGTTGCAGTGAGCTATGATGATGCCACAGCACTCCAGCTGGGGCAACAGAGTGAGACTCTGTCTCAAAAAAAAAAAAAAAAAATCAAAGAGGGAAAACAAAAAGAAGTTGAGAAAATATGGAGAAAATAATTGGGTTAAATATACTGTATTTAACTTCTTAACAACTAAATAAACAGATGGGAGATTGTCATGATTTAGTGATGTATAAACTTATGGAACGTGTGTTTTAGTTGATATGAGATTTACAATCCATCCTAAATAAACTAAGTAAAGAGGAAAAGGAACTGGATTAAGTATAATTAACTTCTCGCGTAGCTAATGAGTGCCTTTGAAAGGGTTATGATTTGTAGCTGACACATCCTTGATAATTATCTCTGAGCATCCTAAAGAAGCAGGGCAGAAAACTAGGTGAGAAATCGAGCATCTGTTGGATGCCTGCTATGTTAAACAATGTCAGCAGGAGGGGTGGCTCATGCCTGAAACCCCAGTGCTTTGGGAGGCCAAGGTGGGAGGATCACTTGAGACCAGGAGTTTGAGACTAGCCTGGGCAACATAGTGAGACCCTATCTCTACAGAAAAATTTAAAATTAGCTGGGTGTAGTGGCTGGAGTCCAGCAGCTACTCAGGAGACTGAGGCGGGAGGATTTGCCTGAGCCCAGGAATGCCAGGCTGCAGTGAGCTATGATTGATCATGTCACTGCACTCCAGCCTCGGTGACAGAACAATATCCCGTCTCTAAAAAACAAAAACCAATGTCTGCCCCACGTGCAAAACTGAGGCTCGAAGGAGTAAGTAATTTCCCCAAAGTGACAAAGCCGGTAAGCGCTAGTGTTGGGACAAGAAAGCAGAGCCTTCTGACCCTGAAGCCTGGCTCTGTGGGTGCTGTTAGAAAACTAACATGCAGAGAAAGGAAACCACAGTGTAAAGAGATCATTCAGCAAGTACAGTGTTCCTGCCCTCAGTCTTCGTCTTGATCAGCCAGTAGGCAGATGTGCCTGGAGTCCATACAGGTGCCCAACATTATGTTAGAGCCGAGGAGGAGAGAAGGAGATGCCTGAGATATCCTATCCAGCCCTAAAATGACTAAAAATCGACTGAAGGAAAAAGTATTAATTTCTCAGAGAACCTCGTAGGGCATTGTGCTCAGTTGTGCAATGTAACCTGGAAGGGGAAAAGAGTTTGTAGAAGGGTCTTCAATGGCAGCAGTTTAGACGGCATGAGTAGAGTGGGGTAGAATCTTTGCAAGACGCTGGCAGAGAGAGCCGTGTGCCCCACAGTGATTTGACAGGAATGCAGAACCATCCAGGAAGAAATTCCCTGAACAATTAATTGAATTCCCTCCTTGCATATCTTTTCTTTTGGCTGAGGGAAGCAGTGGCATTCCTCCCCCCTGCTGTGAAAGTCTTGCTTGAATTCTCTAGGTTCTTTCTAATTAAGCATCTCCTTGCTAAAGAAAAAGAGGTCCTCCTAACTGAAGTGGACGGGACTCCTTGTGAGTCTGAACCCCTAGAATTGGTCTAAACCAGAGGTTCTAAAAACATTTTGGTATCAGGACTCTTTTAGACTCATAAAAATAATTGAGAACAACAAAGACCTTTTTTTAATGTGGATTATATCTATCAATATTTACCATATTAAAATTAAAACAGAAAAAAATTAAAACAATTAATTTTAAAATAACAAAAATAAACTCGTTACATATTAGCATAAATAAACTTTTTTATGAAAAATAACTATATTTTTCCAAAACAAAGCAAAGTTTCATAACAGTGGCATTGTTTTACATTTTTCATGTCTTTAATATTGGGATTAACATAAGACAATTGGATTTTTTTATCTTCTTCTGCATTCACTGTGATGCAATACATTGTTTTAATGGAAGTATATGAAGAAAATTTGGCCTCACACAGATATATGGTTGGAAAAGAAAGGAGTAGTCTAATAGTCCTTTCATCCAATTATAGGTATTGTTCTTCAATACTATATGTAGGTTAATTGTAACGTGGAATTTGAAAGCACATCAGTGAAGTTTCTGTACTTATTACATAAAATTCATTGGTCTATACTGAATTTTAAATGCATCTTTTACCCATGCATGACTTTGTAACATCATGCATTGGTCATTTGGAAAAACTTGGCTCATGCGATCTATCAAATGTTAATATATTTTCTTATACCATATTTTTTAAAACCACATTCAGTAATATTACCACTAATTTTATCAGGGCAATTTTAAAGTATTAGGAAACTATCAAGCTTCTGATGAAAAACAAGAGTTTTCCAAAATTCTACTTAGGAACATAATATGAATATTAATTTATAAGAGAACAGTGCAAATCAATTCTGTGCTTAGTCCCATGGTAGAAAGTAGAAGGATGGCAGACATCGGCAAAAATGTCAGAGTAGGCTGGGGGCGGTGGCTCATGCCTGTAATCCTAGCTCTCTGGGAGGCCGAGGCGGGTGGATTGTTTGAGCTCAGGAGTTCGAGACCAGCCTGAGCAAGAGCGAGACCCCATCTCTACTAAAAATAGAAAGAAATTAATTGGACAACTAAAAATACATAGAAAAAATAAGCCGGGCATGGTGGCGCATGCCTGTAGTCCCAGCTACTCGGGTGGCTGAGGCAGAAGGATCGCTTGAGCCCAGGAGTTTGAGGTTGCTGTGAGCTAGGATGACGCCACGGCACTCTAGCCCAGGCAACACAGTGAGACTCTGTCTCAAAAAAAAAAAAAAAAAAAGTCAGAGTAAATATCTGAAAATTCTCACCTCCATAAAAGCAATAAGAACACGAACACTAGCAAAACTTATCTGAATCAACTA